GTGGTATTGAAGGTGGGAGAGAGCGCTGTACATTCACTCCCCCCACCTACAATCCCTGCCGGTACGAGACTCGAACCCACAACCTTTGGGTTACGAGTCCGACTCTCTAACCATTAGGCCACCACTTCCCCTGAGGGTGCAGAAATCATTGTAAACCATAAAGAAACTAACCAAAGGACCACCAAGTAAACAACTGGCAAAAATCATTGAAGATTTGGCCCCTAAATTTGATTTCTGACTCTTCAAACAGCAAACTGATTCTAAAATGAGCAGAGATGAAAAAGACAGTCAAATAAAACGAATAAAAAGACAGCAAAAGCAAATAAGCATCACAATGTCACCACTTGAAAAACTTCTGATCAGCACCTATAAAAGTCAGGCAAAGCACAAGCACAAGGCAGTCTGTCAGAAAAAAAAAATATTTTAAACAGCATTTCTCTTTGCATTAGGAATCAACATGTATATGAATCTAAACAAAATGCAAAAATAAAATGTAAATAAATCCACAGTTGCATAAACCATAATTTTCCATCTATTTTTGTGACCTCTCATTCAACATATGCTTCTTGCCATTCTACAATGGATTAAAAAAAGTTACAATGCAATAATTTCATGATATTAGAGAGAACTGTTTTCCCCTTACGCAACCTTTTGTATTTTCCAGTCGACACAGTATTTCATTTGTTTTGTAGTTTTAGTTGTTTTATGTGTCTAAATCAGTTGTACTATATCGGACAAAGAATCATTTGAGTTACATAAAGTTAAATACATTGGTCTATAGATAATGAAAAAGACAAATATATATTAAGTAAAATATTACATAAAAGCAAAACATTTTAATTTGTCACACAAATATTTCCAGATTAGTGATGGCAGATTCAAATAAACTCCAATTAAGGTCTTTAATTATGTCATCATTGACCTCTCTGGAGTCAGTTCTTCTAATGATGATCATGAGAAGCCATCAGTTTTTCAGGCTGTTTCCTCTTTAGCTGTGCTTATGCTACATGCTGTATCAACATAACTTTTCTCCTGAATTTGTCTTCAGACGTCAAAGCTTTCGTTGACCTAAATGGAACATGCACAAGTTTAGCACCAGATTTAGATTAGATTTTCAAAAAATGTAAACTTTGACAAATATTTTGCAGCCATGACAAATTATTTACTGATGAGCTTTAGCAATGTCCTTAAATGTGAGAGAGGAGCCGTTTGCTAAGTAGTGGGTCTCTGTGGGGTCCAACCCACTAGAGGGCAGCATTAACCTTACTTAGGGCTGCTGGATGCATGGCTGAAAATGAAAAATAATAAAATAAAATAAAATAAATAAACAAAATGCATAAACTTGTAAACATCAAGCTGTAGCTAATAATAATCAAGATATTGCCCATTTTAAAAGGGAAACTTTTAAACTTTTATGCACTGTTACCATAAAATAAATGATAAGCATATGTCATTTTGAGGTCAGACATCCTGGATCAGTTAAAAAGGCAAATTATTCTGCTATCCAGAAACAACTTATGTCTCTTAATATTTATGACATATGTATACAGAGTTAAATCATTTAGGCAAAATATTATAATATAAATTACAGAGATAACTGCTATATAATAAAATATAACCTTTTGAAACAAATTTAGTCATTGACAGTTTTTTTACTGCCTCTATAAAATATGGCCTGTATGAAAATTATTTTCCAGAGTCTAGGCTATATGTTAACATATACAGTTAAGTGCAAAATGTTTCATGATTCCCCTTGCAAATTCAGATTCAGATGAAGAAACAAATTCATCTACATCTTGGACAACCTGAGGGGTGAGTAATGTGATATTGAGGTCTGGCTGAAAAAAGAGGTGAGAGTTAATCTTGTGTTCTCTCTCATTAATACCAATATTAATACCAAGAATCATATGACAATCTCAGAGTTGTTCTTTGTGCAGGCTTTATCAATAGACACAAACAAGAAAACAGTGACATTTGATGATGGCTTAATCCAGTGCTATGACCAAATCCTTATTGCAACGGGATGCAGATGATAATTACTGATATAAAGTATTGTTTAACTGTACTTTTTATGGTATATGTCTTGATACAGTATTATTTTTCATCTTTTACTCAACTTTCATCTATGCAGAACTTAGACACTACTTGATCTTTGTTCTTCAGAGCAAAGAGCCTAGACTGCCCTGGTGTGGACCTGGAAAATGTGCTAATGCTGGAAACAGCAGAGGATGCCCGGTGCATCCACTATGCCTGCGTGGGCTGCAGGACAGTTGTTGTGGGCACTTCCTTCGTTGGTACACACAAGCACATTCACCACCTTCTGTCTCCCTGCAACTGTTTTTCGCATCTGTAAAGCTAATGCTATCAATTGATTTATGGATGTATCCCAAAGAACAATCATTGAAGATAGATAGATAGATAGATAGATAGATAGATAGATAGATTTGCAGTATGTCTTCAAATGTCACCATTTTAGGCATTTTTGTAAGACCTTTTTTTAAAAATTAATATTATTTATAAAATATATGTCTTTATATATTAACTATTAACTTAAACTATGTTTGAAGTGTATTACTCACACAAAGCTATGGCTTCAGAAAACATGAAATATAGTACATGAGCAATATTAAGGCACTTTTATAGTTTATTTATTTATTTTTGAATTGACAAACCTTGGTCACTGCCTTCTTTCAATGTATGGAAGAATATGATGACAAAATATTATGTGAATTATTCTTTCACCATGCTTCCCTCCCCCAAAATAACGAATCTATTTTGTTTGGCTTTTATGGCATGGAAGTGGCCGCCTATATGATAAATATGGCCAGTAGTATCACGATCATTGGAAGCAGTGAACTCCCCTATCAGAAGACTCTAGGCCCAGAGATAGGAAAGGTCACCATGATGGTATGTTATAAAGGGCAATACAACCATCTCAGTCATACCGATATCAAATATGTGCTTAATTATAATCTTCTTACTTTGGTTTGCTTGTTCTTTAAGATGCTGGAAGAGAGAGGGGTGACATTCTACATGAATGATGCCGTCGCAGAAGTTCAAGGCGAAAATAGGAGGGTAAAGTCAACAGGGTCATTTGTTCCAAAAACAACACGCCAGTCTTTCTTTTGGAAGTTAGTTGCCTGAAATACATTATCAAGAACACTTAACTGGACGATGGCCTCATCCAGTTCATTATAACTTATTAACAGAATGAACTGTTTCTTCATAGGTTAAGGCTGTGAAATTGAAGAGCGTCTTCAATAGTGAATAAGGATGGACTCTAAGAACTATGTAATTGTGGATAAGGTAAGTGCTTAGACCAATTTCTTTGAGCTCAAACATCCAGCTTACACTTCCAAAATCTTTAATCATGTCCCTGTACATGAGGACCAACATAACAGACGTCTACTGTGCAGGAGATCTGACCTCCTTTCCTCTCAAAATGGCAAAAGGCCAGAATGTGAGCATCGGCCACTGGCAGATAGCGCAGGCACATGGTAATCAAAGATGTGAATATCTGCTAATTTTTCCAACATTTAGACAGTGCTGGGGAAAGTCACTTTTAAAAGTAATGCATTACAATATTGCGTTACTCCCTAAAAAAGTAACTAATTTCATTACTTAGCTGCCGTGTGTGACAAGAGGGGGGGGCCGAGAGCCGTGGGAACGGAGCGAGGCCGGTGGAGGAAATGCTAATGCGCGACACCTGCGCCACTCACCGGTCTCGAGTCCCACGGAGGAGCTCCGGAAGGATAAAAGGAGGAGTGACAACAGTGTTGGACGAGAGAGGATCAGGCCTGGACTTTATTTTGTAACAAAGTTCGTAGGTCGGGAAGAAGGAGGCGGGAACCGGCGAACATTTAAGCAAAACTTTAATAAAATAAACAAACACAAAATGAAAGTAAAGCGGCAGCCCCTCGCGGACGACTGCCGCACACAAAACACAAAATAAAGTCCAGGCCTGGTCCTCTCTCGTCTTTCACTGTCGTCACTCCTCCTTTTATACTTCCGGAGCTCCTCCGTGGGACTCGAGACCGGTGAGTGGTGCAGGTGTCGTGCTTTAGCATTTAC